AAATGCAATTCTTGGCCAGGGGTTAGGGTGGCTCATGCCTATGCACTCTGGGGAGCCAAGGAGGCAGGAAGGAGCAGCCCTTGGAGACTTGAAATGAGATCCAGTGTGGTGGCTGGTGATGACCAGGGAGGCTGAGGCAGGAGGTTGTTGTGAGCTAGACTGAGGCACTGAGGCACTTTAGCTCTGGGCCACAGATCAGAGACTGTGTCTCAAAAAAAAAAAAAAAAGGCTGGGAACAACCTCCAACTCCTGGGCTCAAGTGAGTCTTCTGCCTCCACCTCCCAAGTAGCTGGGACCACAGGTGCCCGCCACAACGTCCAGCTATTTTTGGTTGCAGCTGTCATTGTTGTTCGGCAGCCGGGGCTGAATTTGAACCCGCCACCTTAGGTGTATGTGGCTGGCGCCTTAGCCACTTGAACCACAGGCACTGAGCCAAGCTCTCAGGAGTTTGAGACTAGCCTGAGCAAGAGCAAAACCCTGTCTCTAAAAAAAAGAAAAAAATACCCAGGCATTGTGGCCAGCACCTGTAGTCCCATCTACTTAGGAGGCTGAGGCAAGAGAATTGCTTAAGCCCAAGAGTTCGAGGTTGCTGTGAGCTGTGACACCATAGCACTCTACCAAGGGTGGCAAAGAGAGTCTCTGTCTCAAAAAAAAAAAAAAAAAGCACATTCTTGAGTCTTATCATAGCCTTAATGATCAAACTCTCCATGTGATTCTGATGCATGCTAAAGTGTGAGAATCATGGGTGTAGAGAGCAACAGGACCCAGGAAATCAAGCTGGTTTCCTTCCTCTCCCAGTATTGCACTGCCACTACCCACAGGAAACCTTTAGTCTTATGCAGACTATGGGTTTCACTTAAAGGAAGACAGCCTAGAGCCACTTGTGGCTAGTCTCAACTGAGATACACTATAAGTGTTAAATACCAGATTGCCAAGACATAGTACAAAAAAGGAAAATATTCACTACTAATTTTTTTTCTTTTTTTTTTGTAGAGACAGAGTCTCACTTTATTACCCTTGGTAGAGTGCCATGGCATCAGACAGCTCACAGCAACCTCCAACTTCTGGGCGTAG